GCGATCACCTCCCCTGGGAGCCGCGGTGGACCATAAATGAATCCACCGTCATGTGAATCTAGTCTAAGTCTAAAGCTGGTTATGTGAATTTACTAGAGAGGAAAAACGAGGTAGAGTAGATCGCGCCCTCCCCCCACCCTAGAGTTTGCAAGGAACGCGACGCGAGACGATGACCCACCGGACTTCGCCGAAATTTCTCCGAAGAGGAAATATCAGTTTCATCAGGGGCCACCGTTCGCGTTCTGGGTTACGAGATGTTCATGGCTGTTTTTTAGTCTATGGCGCAGATGTTTTGCGCCGCCAGATAGATGTGTGGACTCTATTTCCGGGAGCTTGCTCAGTAGCTCTGGCGAGGCGCCACCCTCTGCTCCCTTAGTCCCGGAGTAACTATGTCTCGCGTTATCCATAGTTGATCAATCTAACTTTGTCCTTCAATCTCCGTATCATAATTGGGCACTTGTTCTTATCGTAGGCAGTGTGTTTGGTGTCTTCCATTTTGGCTAAGGTGCAATTGTAGCATTTCACCGCTTCAGGGTCCTTCACTATGCATTTCCTTGTTTCGTGTTGCTGTGCACATATTCCGCAAATATCCTGCGCCCTGTTGCAGCTACTGGAAATATGTCCAAAGCCCATGCACTTGAAGCATTGCATTACTTGGACGTGATCAGTGACACGGCAGACGTTCCATCCTATGTGCAGCTTCCCTAAATTGACTAATCTTGCCCGTAGCTCAGGCGTCGTTTCAATTATGCAACTCGCTTCATTCTGCTCTTTAGTTGGGAATCTATATACCAGTTTGATTTCGCTTGTGTTTCCTTCCTCGAGGTTCTGCGCTTTCAGATATTCCACGATATTGCTGTCCTCGATTTCCTTGGGAATTCCTCTGATCAATAGCCTTGGTAATAGTTTCGCTCTCTGCTTTACTATAAATCCTGCCGAAGTAAGTTCCTTCGCTGTTTTTAGTTTTTCCATATCCCCTGCCTTCGCGACTATCCTTACAGCACTGTTCCTAGTTGCCATGATTCTGTCAACCTTGAGGCCGAAGTCTTTAGGGTTAATGGTTTCCATAACTTTCCTTCTAATTTCCTCAGAGTTGCTGTATTTATTCTTCGTCTCCTCCGTCGGTTGGATCACCACACTGATACCATCCTCGATCTCTACCCTTGAGCCCTTCGATATCTTGACTGGCTCTCTTCTCTTCTTGGTCCTCTTGACGTCTTCCCATGGTGCGCCCACAGCTTCAGCATATGTGTGTTTGTCCATTTCCCTGACCGTAGTGGACGCTATTTCCGAGAGGCCCTGCCTGACCGACTTCTTGACTTCCATGACCATCTCTTCACAGTTCCTGGCATTTTCTTTCACCACCTGTTGTACACCTTCTTTATTCTTTTTCAGCTCATCTTTCACAGCTCTTTTGAGGTCCCTCTCCATCGTCTCCCTCTGTTCTAATAGCTTTCCCATTTCTTCCTTCACTAAAGACCTAATTGAGCACGCCAGTGTTTCCTTGTCCTTTTTCAGTTCTCCTGCGACCTCCTCAATCGCCCTTTTCAAGCTTTGTTTCACGCTCAGAGCATGCCATATAACGAACTCTCTCTCTGCAGCCAGCTTTGTATACGCATCCTTTAGTGTTGTGACCGCGTGATCATACGTCCTAATTGCTGTTTCTAAGTTCCTTTTCTTTTCCGTTGTGTCCTTGCTGGTGAGTAGGATAGAGAGCACTGTGGTCTTGTGTTCAACTAGGTCAGCACATAAATTATCCACCTCTTCCTGTTCCAGCGGTATGTCCTTCTCAAAAATCTCCGGTACCACTACTGGCGATGAGGCTGTCCTTTTCTGGCCCCTTGGCTTTGCCGCTGGTGTGGAAAACAGGTTTCCTTCTTCTCCTTCGCTTGTAGCTCCCTGTCCATCATCCTTCCTAAATGCCTTAGGTGTCGCCATTCTGGCTTCACCTAAGATACGTCCCTTTCTACCTTACTAATATTCTTCTTTATTTTCAGGTTCACAAAATGAGATGAGCACCACTGGTATACTTCCGGAAAGCCTATTCTTGATCAGATAAGTATTTGGCAATGTGTGCACCTCTTACTTTGTGGTAAATTCTTTATTTTCTTTTCCCAGGTATTAGGACTCCAGGTTGAGAGCCCCTGCCACCTTCTATTCTTCTGTTCGGTAGGTGTGTCAATGTATTTAACGAAGCCTATTAGGACGTCTTTGCTCTGTTTGGTCCCTTCTTCGATCCAGGGCATTGGACCCGCGAGTTGAGCACCACTGGTCTTGCTTAATACACTGTTCGTACTGTTCTATTCCTTAATTCTAATCACCAACTTATTCTGTAAACTCTCTATAATATATTAACATATTAACACTTCCAGGATAGCGGATCCGCAGGTTGAGCACCACTGACATCACAAAACGTTTTTGTTTCGGTAAGTGTAGAGTCTTATTATAATAGTTCTATGTATAATGTTAAATTTTTCCTTAGTAAATGTTTAATATATGTCGCCAGAATGAGAACCACTGCAATATTTATTGATAAATTGTCCGGATACTTATCCTCTTATGATAATAGTCACTATAGCTACCTCTTTTCAGTTCAGATTGTCTTTAGTTACCTCTTATTTTTATTACGGTTATTAACATACTAATTTTTAACCACTAGCGGCACCTATATCACCATAAAAGTTATATTACTATCTATTACTATTATTATTAAACAAATAAATAAAGAAATCCGCACTGGAAAAGTGTTAGAATTACGCTTGTTGCGTATTCGCAACTGGTAATATTTAGAATCAAGCGCCATCTGTTCAGAATTTTAGGAATAAGTACATGTAACTACACTGTCATCTGTAGGCGCAGATTCAAATTAGGCGCGGCAAATACGAATTGTACAACAGCGTAACTGAGGCAACGAATCAGGGTATTAGATAACTAATTATTGATTAAATGTCAAAATGATAACATTGATGACTAGAAATTACTCGTATTTGATAATTACTTTTGGTTGTCATGAGGAAACATTGCCAAGGTATTAAAAACGCTCGTTCCCCGTAATGATTAGACCCAATAGGATTAAAGTAAAACTATTTATTAATTCCTAATTGGATGTTAAATAATTGTATTTTGTTAAAAGCTGAAGGTACACGTTCTTTTTGTTCAACGAGGATTTTATTGCCATTTTGACTGCTTCTTAATCGAGTACTCA